AGGTTGTTCTTCCCAACGTTTCGCCAGTCTCTGTGGCCGGCATCTTCAGAGGACAGCACTCTGTGCTCTTCAGAGGACAGCACTCTGTGCTCCTCTGAAGATGCCGGCCACAGAGACTGGTGAAACGTTAGGAAGAGCAATCTTCAGAACACGGCCAAAGAGCCCGAAAACCCCACAACAACCATGAGGCTAATTTGCTTGCTAATGTTACTGTTATGTACAGGTTGCTTCAATGAATTTTTGTTAACTGAACACCAAATGGATTTAAGTAATATTAATAATATTACTAATAACATTTTTAAACTTTAAAAAAATATCCTTGTACCCTCAAAAAATAGAGGGTAGTATATGGGAGGCTCAAGGTTTGCTCAGAGGATCTTGAATTTCCCCACAAATTCTAGGATGCACAAAGTATTTTCTGGGGCAGGGGAGAGAGTTTATAAATTGTAAATATTTCTGGGGATTCTACAGAGATGCAGGGGAAGCTTCACATGGCCTGTACAGTATTTTCTTTACTGTATATACAAAGCTCTGTTCTCAACTGTTAGGTCCTGAAATCTTGTCAAGGTTGCATTGGATGAACAGAACAGGGGGGCATTATTCCATCAGATACTGTAACTGAGCTTCATTTTTACTGTGCCATACCTTCTTTTTTGATCTGTCTCATGTCACTTAACTGGTCACAGAATTCCAACCTTGCCATAATAGACTCTGAATGATGAAAAGGTTACAAACCTTATTTGAGTGGGAGGGAGGTGAGGGCACTGAGAAACTCTCTTCTTCTACCCTCTAGGCATTCTGCCAATCTCTGAAAAGTTGTGAGCTGAAACCCAATGAAGCTGGAAGTTGAGGCTGCTAAAAAACAGAATGGACAGAAGTACTTACCGATCCACACTGATAGCACAGAGGTTGAAAATCGAGGCTGTGCATAGCATCACATCCATGGTCATCAGTGCATCGCACAGGACTGTGCTCAAGGACCACACGCCTCCCTGGAACTAAAGAGAGCATTAGTGTGAGTGTATTTTGATAGCCTCTTGTTATCCTCTGTTCTTCTATCACAGCTCTAGAAACATTCAAATCTGATCTGCTGTTTTTCTTCTTTTAATGGTTTACTGTGCACTGAAATTACTTTTTCAGACTACAGCTCCCACTGAACATACTGCTTTGGGTATTCTCTGAGTTGTAGTTCAGAATTAATCCCCCACCTTTCTCTATACCTTCTACTTAATTTGTAGTTTTAGAACTACAGCTCAGATCTCTTGATTATTACCACTTCTGGAGGGAGGTGAAATAGCTGGTATTTCTCTTGCACACTGCTTCCTTTGACCATCCTGTCTGCTGCCCATCACACCTACCAGTAGGGATGGGTAACATGTGACTCTCTTGTCATAGCTGGACTGCAATTCCCATGATCTCTCACAATTGCCATGCTGGCTAGGAATGATGGGAACTATAGCCCAACAACAGCTGGGAGGGTACAAGTTGCCCACCTCTGTACAAAAACCCCTTCAAAGGAAGGGGTGGATAAAAGGAAAATGGGTGGGTGTAGGAAAATCAACTGCTGTTGTGTGTTTCACTTGATTTGTATATTTGAAGCTACACAACAAATCTCCATGTTGCAAACAGATACAGGGTGATAATCAAGAAAAATGCAATGTGCCCTGAGTTAGAAATAATATGCACCTCATTCTGATTTTTAAAAATCAGAATAGAATGACATTCTTCTAGAGAAAGGCACAGATAGAATACAAAAGGTCATTAGTACTTTCAAGGTGCAGAGACAGTCTCAAGCATTTGGTTTTTAATTCCTCTTCCTTTACACCAGCTGCAACTATACAAGATGGCACCCTTTGCCACCAAACAACTACAGGTGAGTACCAAAGCACCATCTCTTGACAGGACAGAATTTTCTGCCGTCACCTTAATGTGCATTAATAGGTGATCTCCAACATGTCTGCAAAATCTCGGATTGTCCTAGAAAGAAAATAAATCACAAAACCCTGCTCCAAAGGTCAACTAATCCTTGCTCTGCTGTTAATATAAATCTCCCTCCTCCCTGGGACGACGTCAGCACAGGTGGATTATTCACACCATAGATCACAGGTTTGATATTCAACACCTTCCAACCTAACCTCAGGATCAGGTATAGGCAGGGTCAGACGAGGAGCTGCATCGGCAGAAGAGGTGAGGCCATCTCAGCTGTCCTCCTTAACTGCTTAAGCACTAGTAAAGGGGAAAAAAGAGGCCACCTACTCACAAATACTTGTGTAGGAGAGGAGACACAGCTTTCTATTGAACTGAAATGTTTAATGAAGCTGAATCAGTAGTAGGTGCCTGTTAGTTTACTCAGTTATTTTTAGTTTAGTTTAGTTTAGTCGTTTAGTCGTGTCCGACTCTTCGTGACCCCATGGACCAGAGCACGCCAGGCCCTCCTGTCTTCCACTGCCTCCCGGAGTTGTGTCAAATTCATGTTGGTTGCTTCGCAGACACTCTCCAGCCATCTCATCCTCGGTCGTCCCCTTCTCCACTTGCCTTTATGTAGACTGTTATAATTTTCTTTCGAGACACAGTTTCTTCACATATTTTGTGTTTATATGAATGCGTGCTGTGTGTGTCAAAAACAAAACAAAACCCAACAGGTGTCAGAAGCTGAAATGGGCAGATTCTGTGAGAGAGGGAGGAGAAGGAAAGAAAAGGGTCCACACTTGCACAACACATTAAAGGCCTGTAAGATCAAACCACATACCGTTTGTAGTTATGAACTGAAACAGAAAAGTAACATAACTCTAAGGAAACTGTATAACTTTCTCTGGACATAAAAGGAAAAGTTGTAAGGAAAAGGTAACATTGTATGCCTGCACATCCAGATGAGCCTTGTGGTTTTAGAAAGATCAGTAGTGATCCCAATGGAAAATATTATTTATTTGTTCACGGTATACAACAAACCAACAGAGAAACAAACCAAAGAGCTGAGGAGGAGACTGTAAATTGCAGAACATCCACCTTTCCTCTTTCGGAAACTGGTTCAACAGGACTTTTTAACTGGCTTGCAGATCTTCCCTCTTTCTATCTGACCCCCTTCCATTGTCGTTTTCTTGAAAGCAAATAAAGAATCCTCCTCATTTCCTACCACAAAATTCTGCTGAAGTCACTGTCGTGGCTGCCAGGTTTGTTTACATTAAATGTTATTAGAAAGTACTGAGGCTTTCTACCGAAGAATTGATGCTTTTGAATTGTGGTGCTGGAGGAGACTCTTGAGAGTCCCCTGGACTGCAAGCAAAACAAACCTATCTATTCTAAAGGAAATCAACCCTGAGTGCTCACTGGAAGGACAGATCCTGAAGCTGAGGCTCCAATACTTTGGCCATCTCATAAGAAGAGAAGACTCCCTGGAAAAGGCCCTGATATTGGGAAAGTGTGAAGGCAAGACGAGAAGGGGATGACAGAGGATGAGATGGTTGGATAGTGTCACCGAAGCTACCAGCATGGATTTGATCCAACTCCAGGAGGCAGTGGAAGACTGCTCTGATCCATGGGGTCACGAAGAGTTGGGCATGACTTGACGACTAGACAACAACAACAAAGAAAGTACTCAGCTGACAACTTAACGACTAGACAACAACAACAAAGAAGGTACTCAGCTCTCTCCCCAGCCTTATAAAACAGAAATGGGCTCTGATTTGACCCACGTCTGACTATTTTAAACACATTATCTTCTATAATTGGTTTTCTTGATAGTGCTTTTGTACCTTCAACTTTACCTGCACATATCTTTTGTTTCTCAATTGTATACTCTTCTTCTACTGTACTCTCTTAAAACTATTAATAGACCATGCTGTATAGTATTGTCAGAAAATGAGTATAGCTTTTTTATTTGTCTTATCCATTCCGCTTTATAAGCATACAAAGCAGCTTAAAATTAATCTGCTTTACAATAGAGAGAGTTCTGGACGAAAAACAGATGCCTGCTCACAGTAGGTCCCACTGAATTCAATGGAGCTTATTCCCTAGAATTAGTTATAAACTGTAACCTGAAAGGGATAGAGGGTTTTTCTTTCTCTGAGGTGATAGAACTGTGTCTAGTATCATTTCAGAGATGGAGGGCACACAGAGCCAAATGTCTCTCCATAAAAAAACAATCCCCTCAACACAGGCACTAGATACTAGAGGGAAGAATGTTGCTCTAGTTTTTTCCCTGTGTCAGGCTAGCTTTCTGTATGTGTGAACAATTTGTGTGGCTTTGCAAAGCATGTTTATTCAGGAATTTGTTTTGTTTTTAAACCATGGGCTTGAGTCAGAGTGCACAAAGTATAAGATTTTAGTTTGTCACCAAGAATGGAAGGTCTTTAAGAGTGTACACTTGCTCAAGAATAAGAGAGCAAGTGTACACTCTTAAAGATCTCCCAGTTTTCATCCCATGTTTTCTCATCAACCAGAATTACTGTATGTTCACACTCTGTACAACACCTCTGTCACCCATGGGAAGCCCTCTGAATCTGTAACATGGGGAAGTAAGAAGATGAAACCATGTGTTTGTGATTATCTGCTAAACAAATCTAGTCCAAGAGTTTGGGCGTGACAATGGCTTGAAACAGACTCTAGAAAAACTGAGCTGGGGAGAGCAAGCCAAGGTGACATTGTCAATGCACGCTATTATTACTTGGGGGGGGAGGAGTTAAAAAGCACCAGATGTTCAATGGCCAGGTGCCATGAATGCTTACTGTGCCAATAGAGGGAATTTTACACACTCAGACTGATAATCTGCCCTGATCTCCACATGCCCAACAGCTGGTCCTTCATCTAAAACGTCACCCTTACGAGACCAACAGTGCCAGAACTGAACAGGAGATCAGTCTGCTTTCTAATGCCTTTGCTTATGGCTTTATTATCATGGCTCTGCCTCATTTTATGTGCTTGCTTCCAAAATTATTTCTGCCCATCAGAGTCAATTCTGCATTTGGAGCAAGCAATAGGGCTGCTATGAAGATGGTGTTGTTACGTCCTGTCAAGTTGCCTCCAACGTATACGAATCCTATGGATGAGAGAACTCTAAAATGTCCTGTCCTCAACTGCCCTCCTCAGTTCTTGCAAACTCAAGACTGTGGTTCTTTTAGGGAGTCAAATCAGAGAGAGAACCCACAAGCTTTCAAGGGACCCCTCCCATGTTCCCTCTCTTCCTAACAGTTGTCTGATGTGCAAAAATAGTTATTATCATAATAATATTGGAATTGCAGAGTTGGAAGGGACCCAACGGATCATGAAGTCTAGCCCCTGACACAGTGGAGAATCAAACTCCCAATCTTTTCAGCCAGATATCTAAACCACAGAGAAAGTCACTGTGTCTTGTTAGAAAAAAAATGTTACCTGATAAAGAGAAAATGGGGAGGGGGGACAAAATATTGTAGTTCTTTAAAGGTTAACAGGTTCCTTTCAGTATTCTTCCTTCTCTTTTCTCTCTTCACTTTTGCCAGCTACTTCTTTAGAATTTGAGAACTACCCTGTCTCTTTAGGGACTGTATTTAGATATGCCACCTATTACCCGCTCTCTTGTCTCTCTGCTGAAATAAAAGTTTGGCAGGGAAGGCTTAGACTGGGGGCAAGAGGACTAAATAATTTTCCATGGCTTCGTTCTTTTTTGACCTTAATCACCATTTGCTGGGGGGAGGGGGGGAGAACACATACTGTACAGGGATTTGTATTCTTTCCCAGGTCAACACTTCCTCTTCAAAGGGCAGGTCAACAAAAACTAACAGACCAAAAACAGCCATGAAAAACTTCAACCTCACCAGCCCAGTGCTGTAGACCCACCTGAGCTCCTCCCCAACTTGCTACTTCACAGATACCAAAACAATTCAGAATAAATTGGTTTCACAAGTGATTTAAAACAAACAACCGTCTTGTGGCTAAGTAAAATACCTCACTTTCAAACCAAAACACACACATTTCAGGCCAAAAAATACATGCTCCCCAGTGTGTCATATAGTCAGCATTTTAA